TGTTTTGCCATCTATGCGGTGATAATTTCGCCGCGCAACCAGCGTCGCGCAATCTAGGCGAGGCAGCCGAGTCCGCGGGGGGAGGGCCTAAGATCGGCAGTCCTCTTCACAGGGGGCACTCTATGTTGTGCATTCTAAGTGGGGCAGTCTTCGCGGTGCGCATTGTTTGGCGAAGCCTACGCGGTGCAGTCAACGCGGCGCCATCAGTGCTCATCTCGTAGTTGCCCACCCCATTGCTCGCGCAGGCATCCCACCCACCCACCCGCAACTTGACATGCAAACCCCATGCGGCGGCGGCTGCGATGAGTGCCTGGCGCTGGCTGGCAAATCTCCGCGGCCGCGACGGCCCGCGCGTGCGCGCGCGGCGGCCAGCTACTTTGGCGTGACCGACGCAGCCGCGGCGGCGCTGACCGCTGGGCACATCCCAGAGGGCACATCAGTGCCAATGGGCGGCTTGGGCGGGCGCGGCGCCGCGGTGACGTCGCCGACGGTGGGCGCGGCGATGATAGCAGCGGAGCTGGCGACGATGCTGACAGCGACGATGGCGCGGCCAGCGGCGGCCCCGATGCCTATCGCGCCCGCGACGATGACGGCGCCGTCGCGTCGGCGATGAAGGTCTTGGAAAGCATTCGACACGCGCGCGCGGCCGACGCGCGAGAGTGGCCCATACGGAGCAATGCGACGCGGATTGCCCCCCCCCCCCCCCCCTCCGCATGCGCGCAAGGGCGGGCGAATGATGTCGGCATGCTGCGCGAGTGGCCCGCTTGGCAGCATGCCATGCACATGTTAGAAATACGATGGGCGTCTCCAGAACTCGCAAGAGCGCGAGCGCACGTTTTTCTTTTGTCGCCTGATTTTGGTAATAAAGTCACGTTGCCGAACCAGGTTTTTGCATGTTGTGGACACTCGGTCTTGGCGTCGTTGCGCAACCAGGGGTTTTTTGACGGATGTCGGCATGAGCGCGCGGCGACGCGCGCGCGTGCACTGCGCCCCATTTGTCGCAAAGGATTCTCGCGACGGCAAGCGCGCAAGGGCGTTCGAACGATTCCGGCGTGCGCGCGCGCGAAGCCCGTTTGGCATCATGTTTGGAGAATCTTGAAATACCCATGGTCTTCCGAGGGGCTCGCGGGGAGCGCAAGCGGGCTTTTTTTGAACATCCGCGTTGCGGGGCCATGCGTTCGCACATGTAGCGTGGACACTCGATTCTGAGTTCCGCATGGAAGCGAGGGTTCTCGAAGGATTTCGACGCACGCGCGACGACGCGCGCGCGTACTTCACCCCGTTCTTTTGCAAGGAATGTTTTGACATTTGTGGTTTGCGGTAATCGAGTGCGCGCTCTTTTGCGTTGCAGGCGGTGTGGGGGGGGGGGGGGGCCGGCTTGTTTGTTCCCGATCGACGATGGGCCAGCATCGCGCGCAAATTGGAGAGGGGGGCCGATAATACTGGGGGGGGGGTCGAGTCTATCCTTTTTCTGAAAATATTATATATGCTGGGCACTTGCGTCGTGCCACCTATGCGGAGCAGTGGGGGGTGGGGGTGGGTCTACTTTGTGCCATCGTTCTTGCGCAGTGCATGTTGGCGCAGCATGTATTGTAGAACCTGTACGTTGCAATGGGTGCAGTGTATTCTATCTTGTAGAATCAATGCATTCAATCTATTGATTGTGCTCTTTGATGTGCCAAAGATGAGAGGGGGCCTGCGTCGTGCAATGCGCGTTGCACGATCTGGCACGCATGTGGCGCAGCGTTTTTGCTGCAATTTATTTGGGGCAATCTGAGTGGCGACGTCTATGTGGCGCAGCCTACGCCTACGCGGTGGAATGTTTCCTGGGAAATCGACGTGGTGCACTCTATGTGGCGCCATCTGCGCGGCGCAATCTACGCGGCGAAACCTCTGCGGCCCGGCGCGCGCGGCGCAATGCCCCCTGCCGGGCTCGAGGTTGTCAACCCCGCTGCCCGCGCAAGTGCCCTGCCCATCCGCCCGCAATTTCGTTCGTGAGACCCGCGCGGCGGCGACCGCGGCGACTGCTCGGCGCTGGCGGTCGCAGCGCAGCGGCCGCGCTGGCGCGCGCAGGCGCGCGCGCAGAGCGGCCAGCTGGTCTGGCGCGACCGAGCGCGCGGCCACGGCGGCGCGGGCCGTTCAAGGCCGCCCGGCCGCCATTCGCGGACCGCGCCGACGCGCGAGCACTTCGGCGCAAATCGGCGGCTCGGGCGGGCGCGGCATCATTGCGAGGTCGGCAGCGACAGGCGCGACGAGAATAGCAGCGATGCTTGCGGCGAGGATGACGATGAAGACGGCAGAGCCAGCGACGGCGGCGACGCCGACGATGCCGATGGCGGCGACGGTGTCCACGCGTCGGCGATGCAGGTTTTGGATGGGCGTTGACGCGTCGACGCGGCCGACGCGCGCAAGTGGCCCGCGGGGTGTCATTCACCGGGGGCCCCTTGCCCCACCCCCAAGTGCGCGCGCAAGGGTGTTCGGATGATTCCGACGCGCGCGCGCGAGGCCCGGGTGGTCACATTTGATGAACACGATGAAGACCGATTGTTTTCCCAATCGCTCGCAAGTGCGCGCGTGCAGACTTGCTAGAACAAAGCAACGCTACGCAACCATCTGTTGGTTCTGTGTCATGTAAGTTCACAAGGCACTCGGTCTTGAAATCCCGACGAAACCCTTTCCCTCTGTTTGAAGAGTTCCGGCATGCGCGCGCGACGACGCACGCATATGGACGTTGTCCGTGGCAAAGGGCACGTGCAAAATGATGGCCTTTGATAAACAAGCGCGCGCAGAGCATTATCGGACGCGGATGCAAGGGAGGGGTGATTCCAATATGGTTGTGGTGGTACACGGTGGTATGTTTGGAATTTGCGATGGGACCGGATCGCGCGTAAATTGCACAGCCCCACGGAGACGCGATAAGTCCGGGGTAGACGGCGGTAGATCTTTCCCTGGAAGAAAGCAGATATTACGTTGTGCGAACTACGCGATACAATTTTTATTGTTCGCGGTGAATTGTCTGCCCCAGTTCTCGCGCTATCTTACCACTCACCCACCTGGATCTTGGTTTGCAAAACCCATGCGGCGGCGATTGCGATGATTGCTTGGCGCTGGCTGGCGCGTCGCTGCAGCCGCGCTAGCGCGCGCAGGCTCGCGCGCAGCGCGGCCAGGTAGTCTGGCACGACCGACGCGGCCGCGGCGGCGCTGACCGTTCGAGAATCCCCTGCGCTGTACGCAGGCCGCGCTGGCGCCCGCGCACTTCAATGCGAATCAATACTCCGGCCGAACGCGGAATCATGGCGACGTCGTCCACGGCAGACACGATGTTCATAGTAACGATGTTGGAGAGGAGGATGACGATGACGACGGTTAGGCCAATGACGGCACCGATGCTGATCATGCCGACGACGCTGATGGTGTCCAGGCGTCGGTGATGAACGTTGTTCCCGGCTTTCGACATGCGCGCGCGGCCAACGGGCGCGACTGGCCCGCATTGTCTTTTGACAGGGATCGTCCCCCCTCCCGGAGAACTCGCACAACTGCGTTCGAATGGTGTCCACCTGCGCGCGGGTTCATGGACACGTGCAGGATGGTGGCTTTGCTTACTTCGAAAAACGCGTGCGCATACGTTTTCTTTTAGGTTGCCAAGCCACCAAATTGTGTTGGAAAGCATTCGGCACAATCGATGTTGGCGTTTTTCTTCGACACCCAAAGCTTTTGAAATATTACGGCATGCAAGCGCGACGACGCCCGCGTGTGCGCTTTCACTTATCTCATGTTGCGGATTTTGAAAGAGTTGTGTTTTTGATAAACGAATGTGCGCGAATCGTGTTTTGTTTTGCACAGGGTGAGGGGTGACGAGACCGGTTGGGTTGGGATGCGATGGGTCCAGGTTGTTAAGGCGTTGTGGCCGGTGCCGCCGACCCTAGAAGCCCCGGCCTTCCCGACACGCCCCGGGAAGGTGGCACTCTGACCCGGGATCACCCACTGGGGCCTCCCCCGGGCCCTCCCCTTCCGCGGAGAGAGATCAAAGGGAAGGGGCTTCCCTTCCCGTCGATTCAATGACAACGTTGTGTAATTTCGTTGTGGATGGGTTGGTGTATTTTGTTTTGGCAGGCGCGCTTGAGGACGAGGGCCCAACCCAAGGGGGGGAATGGCGACGGAGTCAAAGGAATGAGGGAACGTGATGGCGGCGGCGACGCGATGGTGGCAGCGACGGCGATGGCGACGGAACAGCCCCTGTCACACGCCGACAGGGTCGGCGGACTTGAAACGAACGATTGGGCAAATCAGTATGCACATCGCACATCCCAGGGGAGGATTAGTCCATCCTCGGGGGGGCGATGGGTCTCAGTTCTCCGTGGATCGGAAAATCTACACGTGGGATAGTCTACAGGCATCCAAGCCCAGACGACGGGCGGCGACGAGGCGGCGACGCGGCGGCGACGGCGACACCATAGCCGCCAGACTCGCACCCAGGCCCAGCCGACGGGCGGCGACGAAGCGACGACGGGGCGGCGACGGCGGCAACGTAGCCGCCAGACTGGCACCCAGGCCCTGATGACGGGCGGCGACGAAGCGACGACGGGGCGGCGACGGCGGCAACGTAGCCGCCACACCAGCACGCTGGCTCAGACGACGGGCGGCGGCGACAGGGCGGCGACGCGGCAACACAGCCGCCAGAGCGGCACACCGGCCCACGCGACGGGCGGCGACGGGGCGGTGACGGCGATAGCATAGCCACCCGAGCGGCACACCAACCCAATCTTCTGACCAGAAGCGCAGCAAGAACCCCGAATTGCAAGCACAGTTTGGGGGAAAGGGGCGGGTGGGAGGGGTCAAATGTCATGTCTGGCGCCAGGGCACCTAGCTCGTATTTGTCATTCTCCGCTCCTGACTCCTTCCCCCCCCCCCAGCTGCCCCTTCCCATCCTCTTTCCTCCCCCTCCCCCCCCCCGCCTTTTCACCCCCATCCTTCAGCTGGCCCGCCGGTGCAGAGCCCAGGAACGCCTGGCCAGAGTCTTCGCCTTCGGCGACGAGGAGGAGCGGGCTCCGCGCGGGGGGGGGGGTCGGGGGTGCGTAGGGTTAAGTCGGGCCTTTCCCCCTACAGGGGGATTGTCGACGAAGAATAAAAAATACCTCTAAATGAGCCAAGAATAATACAAAAATCGTCTGGGGACTATTTTTTTAGTATGTTTGACATTTTTGGGGCATTGTTCGGGTACTCTTTATTTTTCGTCGAAAATCCCCCTGTAGGGGGACACGCCCGACTTCAGTGTAGGAGGGGGGCCCAAGACGGGAATAGAGAGCGAACTCAGATTGAGGGTGCTAATTCCCTTGTCCAGGGCCGCATAGCGGCCTCCTCTGAACCTCACCTGTTGTCTGAACCGGCCTGCACATCCCTCTGGAGCGGGGGCGGAAAGGAAGCTCGCCCACCCGTCGTTTTCGAGTCCACCCCCTTCCAAACCCTCGTCCTCTGGCAACAGCTCACCACAGCTACGTAGATGCGGCCTTCTCTGGGCGAGTGCTTGGACCTCTCTATCAGCTTCAGCCTGCCGCGCGCCCGTGGAGAGCGGTGGTTCACCTGCGTCCCACGCGGCATTTGCCAGGTGAGGGCTCTGTATCCACCGAGATGGTCGTGTGCATCCCCCCCCGACCCCGAGAGCGGGAAGGGCAGAGGGGATACGGTCAGGAGTGTGTGCTTAGCGTGTTGCGCCGCTGGTTCTGGCCCACCGCGTGTCGGCAGGGCCCAGTGCACCAACGTCCCGAGCTGTTCCCGGCCTCCCGCCCCCCGCGGAGCGGAGCGACGCGCCTTCCGCGTGCGGAGCACAGCGGGTCGCCGGGGCCGGCGCCGCGGCACGCGGAGCGAGAGAGGTCCCGAGCGCAGAGGGGAGGACAGCAGCAGGGAGGGGCGCAGCAGTGGCAGGGAGGGAGATCGGGGGGGGGGGGGAGGGGGCGGCGGCGGCCAAGGGGGGAGAGGGGGAAGCGAGGGGAGGCAGGGCACCCGTGGTCAGCGGTAGCCGTGGCGTTGCCCTGCCTGGCCCTTCACCCCCCCCCCCCCCCCACACCCCCCACCCGAGGACGACGAAGAGGCACGGCGCCGAGAGGCGCGCCACCTCCCCAGGGGTGCACCGCGCCGCCGCTGCCGCCACTGCCGCGGCCGTTGTCGCCGCCGCGGCCGCCGCCGCGAGCAGTTTCCGAAGGCCTCGGGCCGCCGCGCCGCCGCGCCCGCGCCCATCCGCGGTCGCAGGGCAGTGCGGCGTCGCGCGGCCACCCGGGGCCTCCTGCCCTCTTCGGTTCGGCCCTCCCCCCCCCATCAGCTCTCCCCGCTCCTCCCTCTCCTGTCTCGTGTTTTTTTTTGTGTTCTCTCTCTCTCTCGCCCCGCTGCTATCCTCCGCCCCGCATCGCATCCCCTGCGAGACCCTCGACTCCTTTCTGCGCGCGTGTGCTACACGTATTTATCGTTATCTCTCCTTTTCTCTCTCTCTCTCTCTCGTTTTGTTGTTGTGTGTGTCTCTCTCTCTCTCTCTCTCTTTCTGTGCTTTTTTGTTTTTTTGTTTCTCTCTCTCTCTCTCTCTCTCTCTTTCTGTCGCTCTCTTGCGTCCTCTTTTTTGTTTTGTTGTTTTCTCTCTCTCTCTCTCTTTCTCGCCCCCCCCCCTTTCGGCTCGAAGGCTGGCCCCGCCCGCAGCCACGGCACGAAACGCCCAGCGTTACAGTTGTTCGCATCGTTGGCTGGACACACGCCATCCGCGTCACCCCCCGTTAGCACAAGGCGTAAGAAGACTGATCCGTGTCCCCCCACGTCAGTGTGCGCGCGCCATGGCTCCGGAAGGTCCTCGCCAAGCGCCCCGGGCATCACGTCAGCCCAAATCACCAAGCAAGGGCCGCCAAAACGCTTCAGTGAGCCATCGACAAGGGTACCAACTTCAAGTCGAAAGGAGGCCTGCGTCGCCGCGCTCTCGAGCAGTGGTGGCTTCGACCGAGCAGCCGCCGCACAACGAACCCGGTCACCGCTCCGACCCACGAAAGCCGAGGGGCGAGATAATGAGATTGTGCCGGGTAAGGAAGCCACACCATGCTGCATCATTGCCTCACACACACACAAGCGCCGTAAACCGTGACCCACCACCAATAGCGACCAAAGGCGACGCCGACGCCCACCAGGGCAACACCAAACCTCTTTCATCAACCTGGACGCATGCAATTAGGACGTCCCGTTACCACCGCGCCCTAAAACGAGAGCCACGGGATGTCGCACACCAGTAGCATCTGATTTCATACGCTAGACGAAGGCGGCTGCCTATTGCAGCAGATCTGCGCACATGACAAACCTCTGGCGCTCACACTGTTGGAGACCACTCACACGGACCATCCAGGCAAAGAGAGCCTTGTCTTTGTGTTCCGTTGCACGGCCGCGGCTGCCAAACCTACGCCAGGACACATCACACATCCAATGGGTCATCCATCTACCATTCCGGACGGGACGAGGTCAAGTGCCTCTCCCGAGCCAGTTGGCAATGTCGTTCGGATCCGCGCCGCCATTTGCGAGGTTGGCGCCATCGCGGCCATGCGTGCGCCTGTAGAAAATGTTTCAGGCCAGGCCGGTGGGAACACCCGCAGTTGTCATCTTCTCTCACCTCTCTGTGCGTGGCCCTCAAGGCGCACGCGTCTCTGTGGAGCGTCCTGTCGCCAACTGCCTTGCGCAGGCGCCATTCCACAGGGGGTGGGCATAATTATGCTGACAGGCTGTCTTGCTCGTTCATCCCTCTCACACGTTATCAGCCGTTCTTGCTTTGTCCTCTGGGCCACCTGCTCATTCTGAGTTGCGCTTGTGCTTCGCCGCGCGAAGGACGGCGCAATTACTTCAGGTGATGCGACGAATCTCTTTGCCAATTTTGAGTTGCGCAGCGCCAGTCGAAGGACGGCACAAACATGCAGATGATGGGACGGTCCGTTATCAGTATACTTTATGCCAACAGTCTCGTCGACTCTGATACAGTATACTTCATTTTCATGGGAAGGCGTCTCAGTACGACTCTCGCAAAGCGTCATCCCCGAATCCTGTTCTGATGCGGGCATCACAAATGTGCCACATGTCATGATGATCATCGTGCATTTTTGAGGCCTGAAGTGGCTCACGCTATTACCTAACAGCTCTTGCCGATAGGTTTCTAGTGGGGTCAAAAGAGAGCATCATGACTCCTCAGGGGTGTCTGGCCGGGACCCGGGGAGGCTGCCGCCGAAGCCGAAATCGCTTCGGACATCCTCGCAAAATCGCTCTTGGTTCTCCCAGAACTCCATTTCCGGGCCAAATTTTGGATGCCCGGAGCCAGCTGTAAGCCACTTCGTGCTCTTCGACTTCCCAGAACTCCATTCCCGGGCCACATTTTGGATGCCCGGAGCCAACTGTAGGCCACTTCGTGCTCTTCGACTTCCCAGAACTCCATTCCCGGGCCACATTTTGGATGCCCGGAGCCAACTGTAGGCCACTTCGTGCTCTTCAAGTTCCCAGAATTCAATTCCTGGGCATGATTTTGAATGCCCGGAGCCAACTGTAGGCCACTTCGTGTTCTTCTAGTTCCCAGAACTCCATTCCTGGGCCGCATTTTGAATGCTGAGGCAGGCTGATGCTGCGGCCGAGGCAGGCTGAGGCTGAGGCAGGCTGAGGCTGAGGCCGAGGCTGAAGGCAGACTGAGGCTGAGGCTGAAGCAGGCTGAGGCTGAGGCTGAGGCAGGCTGAGGCTGAGGCTGAGGCAGGCTGAGGCTGAGGCTGAGGCTGATGCAGGCTGAGGCTGAGGCAGGCTGAGGCTGAGGCCGAGGCTGAAGGCAGACTGAGGCTGAGGCTGAAGCAGGCTGAGGCTGAGGCTGAGGCAGGCTGAGGCTGAGGCAGGCTCAGGCTGAGACTGAGGCGGGCTGAGGCTGAGGCAGTGACTGCGACTGCCGTTGCCGCTGCGACTGTCATCGCGAAGGCGACTACGACTGCGAGAACAGCAGAGTTCTACAGCTGGGTTTTCATCTGAATCTCAAGGGGAATGCTTTCAGATATGCCCTCTACACATCGCTGTTAGGTTGCTTTGCCGGGATAATACTTTTTAGCTGCCTCGTTGACCCGTTGTTATCGCAGTTTCGATTTGGTATCAAGTACATTCGGGCCTGAATAGTCTCTGGAAATGTTCCCCATTCCCAAGATTATTTCTCAAATTCTTTCAAGCTGCCTTTCATCGTTCGGGGGATTTCGCTTTCTGCCTCCCCGCAGGTGCGCGTCGACGCCCTTCTCTTTCCGATGTATGTTGTCTTTTGCTATCTTCATCCATCCGTTGCTTCTCTCCGTCATCCATGCGGCCTTTTTTCCCCCCCCCCCCCCCCCGTGCTTCTGTTCGTGCACGTCGTCGCCATGCTCGCATTCATGTTGGAGCGATTGCTGGAAGATGCGCCATGCCGAACGTCTTCGCGTAACCCCGTGGTGCATCTGAGCGCGCGCGTATTGCTTGCGGAAGGAGCATCCGCGATCGTTTGCGGAATGCCAACGCCGCGGCAGAGTTGCATGCTGCGCGGGCCCAGACCTGCAGGCCGGCGACCCCGACTCCGGCTTGCGACGCCGCCCCCCTCGAAGCCCGATTGGCCGAGGTATGGGCGGCGGCGGGCCTCGTGCAGGATTAACATTTCGTTCCGCGAATCGCGAAGAGTAGCCCCAACTGGCCGGGGCGCCCGGTGCCCGGGCATTGGCTACATGTCACCTCTCCCAGGCTCGAAAAGAGTTTCGTGAATCAGAGATGCTGAAAGGCGCGGGCCGTGGGCCCCCTTGCCCGTCTGGGCCGCGCGCAAGTCGCGCGGCGCACGTCGCGCCAGGCAAGCAGGGGCCGCGTCTACTCTGCGCGCGCGGGCGATTCCGAGACGTCGACGGCGGGGGCCTATGTGCACCCGCAGCTGACCCGTGACCTTCTGATCTGCACGAACGAAATGGGCACGGAAAGAATGGGCACAATGCCTCACGGCGGAGCTTGTTCATTTTGAACAGGAATCGCTGTCCACGCCGCCGCGGGTTGTGCCCATTCGAGACAGGGAGCCGCCTGCCCAACAGCGGCCGCTGTTGGTTGTGGACAAAATTTATCGTTGGGCATTGTGCCCGTTCTTTCCGCGTCCATTTCGGGCGTCCAAATCTGATTTGTCATGTGGTTCATGGTTGTCACAGTCACGCTCGCGTTACTCTTCCTCGCAGAGCTCGCAGCATCCACAACTGCAGGTTGAGTTCTCGCGGCGGACCCCGCAGCAGCTCCGCGCAGTTCTCCGTTCTTCCGCATTGCGACGGATGGGCGCGGATGCCCCTCTTCGGGGGGGGGGGCTTCTTTTTTCTTCCAGCCCCGCAGGCTCTGGGGGTCGAGGGAATTCACTTCCCCGCGCCTCCCTGGAAATCGGTCCGTCCCCTTCCTCCCTCCCCCCGTCTGCCCGTCGCGGATGCGGGTCCTCTGCGGGGGGGGGCGCAGCCCCGCATATTGGCGCATCTCACCACTTAGCATTCAAAGACGTGCTCGCGGGCGCTCGTCTATAAGAGCAGCCGATTTGGGGCGGGGCCGGCACGGCGCGCCCGCAATAATTGAGAGCGGCCCATTTCGGGCGGGGGCAATGCTTTTGCTCATCTCCTTCCTTATTCTTGTTTCCCTGTATCTCGCGGCCTCGCGTCTGGGGGGGGCCGGCGGCGCCCTCGGCGCCCCCGCGCCTCGGGGCAGTTGGGCTTCGAGGAATCCAGCGTTTGAGCTCGCGCTGTGACCCCGCTCCTCGGGGCAGTTGAGCCTCGAGGAATCCGGCGGTTGAGCTCGCACCCCTCGCCCTGCCCCCCCGCGGGCGCGCGCCGAGAGACGCGCGCCAACGCGCGCAAGCTCCCGCGCGTTCTCGCAATCCCGTTCTCATTCTCGGTCGCCCCCGCCAGGTGCACATCTCGCACTACGGCGCACTCCGCAGTGGGCAATCCGACCTACGCCCATAAAGTGTTGACGTCGCGCGCGCATGTCAGATTTTCAACATGCTTTCTCACGGGTGCACGTCTTGGCGGTTCTCTACCACCGTCTCTTTTGAAATGCCGTCGCTGCGAGGTCTGCCCGACCACGTCT